AGGAGCAGCTGGTGGGTTTGAACCACCAAAGCAGTCCAGTGCTGCTCCTACACTGGCCTCCCAATAACAAAATAGAGTGTCCCAGGCTGTCAGTCTTTATGAGAGTGGAAAGGGTCAGCTTTTCCCCCAGAGCGGCTGGTGGGCTTGAACCGCTGACTTTATGGTTAGCAGTCCAGTGCTTATCCTACAGCGTCACTGCACTCCACGTTCCTATGCATCTCTGTAGAATTTGTCCTTAAACAGAAAGGAAACTTTGAAGTTGCTTCTTTTGTCTGGGCTCCTACTTCCCTATGAAGAGTAATGGCTCAGCCGGGCGCTCTCTCTTGGGGTTTCCTGACTGCCTACCAACAGCTCTTGTGCTGTACTTGACTCTGAAAAGAAGCTTCAAGGCTCAGCATCTCCATTCTGAAATCTTCAGCTTTTCCTAAAACTTTGCACTTGAACAGGTTTCTAAACGGCTGAGTTTGAGAAAGTAGGTTGCCAGGTCTTTCTTCTGAGGCTTCTCAGGTTCACAGCTGAGCACGTTAACTGTTTGCACCGCACCATGCGGGGGAGCCTTCAGCATCTCCTAACCTTCTCCAATGGATACAATCAGCCAAGAAAGCACATCCTAAAGTGTTCAAATGCATCCTCTGGCTCAACCTCCCAGAATCTTAGCTCATGAAAGACTGCCTCTCAGGAAGACAGTAACTTCTAAGGAAATTGTTTTTATTGAGTGCAAACGTAGTCCAGGGACTATCTGAGATACTTGTCTTCCATATTTCATTTAATCTCCAATTCAAGTGCACAAGGCAGGTATCCTTAGCTTTTGTTTATGGATGACAGAGGTCTGCGATCCCATCCAAGGTCAAGTTCTGGGGAGGGGTGGAGCCAAGTTCCCACTGCCCAGGGTCTCCGTGGCTCCTTCTGGAAGTCTAGGTCCCGGGCAGTGGAAGGATGAAGTACACAGGAGTCAGATCTTGGCAGGCCAGCCAGAACATTTTGAAATGTTTTGGATTACATCAACGTAGAGAGACGCCACTGAAGCTGATTTATCATGAACATTAGAAAATGAAGTACTGACATTTTCATCCAGTTCAAACAGGGCATCGAAAGGGCAGGAAGGAAAAGACTTGATCCTGCTGGTCTTCTGCCGAGCGTTCCTGCATCTTGCTGCTCAGGATGCCCTGCTCCTCGTAGAGCCGTGGACCCTGTCACAACCCTGGGAGGTGATGCACAGCATTCTAAAGATGCAGGACAAGGCTTGTTTGCAGAGCGGCAGAGCGAGGGAGAGAGATTGCCTTGTGTGTACACCACCCACTCCCTCTCTCCGATGTGGACTTCTCCAGCTAAGTAGATGGAAGACTGATCCCAATGAAGTGGGGGGTTTTGGCGAGAGCGCCTCCATTATTCTTTTAGAGGGGGCAGAGACAAACGGCGATGCCATGGTCCCTCTAGGCAACCTCCCATACACTTCTCTCTGCTGCCACCAACTCACTTGTCCTCTGGTCTCCCTCAGGATGGCAACGTGGTATCGCTTCTGTCTGGGCATGGATAATGAGACTAAATTCGGAGAGCTTTCTCATCCCCTGACAGGTCCTGTAGAAGATTACCCCAATTTTGGGTGACTTGTTAATATAAGGACAGAGGATGACACAAACATACCAGCTCACTGTTAGGCAGCATATATATACCCAGTGATAGTGTCTTCCTGCTGGTGGGAGATGGAAACCCTTTTCAGGTTCTCAAGAAATGGATACATTTTACCCAGAAATTACCATAGTTTTGCATATAACACGCCCACAGAAATACTAAGCACATACATATAATGTGTATAGCACACACAGCAAACTAATGCATGAGGGACTGCATGATTTGCAAACATTATATAATGTGTATGTTACTTGCATTCAAATACAGTACATAAATGTGTGCACACAACACACTGGGCAGGCTGAAATCTGTGAGCAGTGAGATCCCTAAGGTTGGAACAGAGTTCATCTGACTCCAGCACCCAGGCCCTGCCTGGCATAGTGCGCCACCCTTAGGAGACATTAGGTAGAAGCCTCGAATGTGTGCAATCTCATACCCTGATCACTCTGAACCCATCTTTCACCTTGTTCTGCAGTTGAATAAATATGCTGTCGACCTGTTTTTGAAAATAAAGTTTTATTGGTACACAGCATGCTCACTCATATTCTTTACGGCCTCTTTTATGGTACAAGGGCTGAGTAGAAGAGTTTCGGCAGAGATTAGAATATTTACTCCCAGGCTCTTTACTGAAAAAGTTGGCCAGCCTCTGTCATTTAAGAAGCCGATTCTGATGTTGGAGATCTGCATCTTTTGGAGATGCATTAACCGCTCTGCAAACCTTAAAAAGAACCCAGATTGCAGAGTAGGTCCAGCACTTGGCTGCTAACGGAAAGGTCCGTGGTTCAAATGTACCAGCTGCTCCATAAGAGAACGTTCCTCTAAACTTCCTTCTTTCAGGTTGCTTCTATAAAGATGACCAATGTCCTGCAGACATTAATGTGGGTGCCTCACTGAGCCTGAAGCTCAGGGATCTTTCAGGGTTTCTCTTCTGGGTCCTATACTACAGGGAACTGTCCTCATCCGAGAGATGGACAGCACCCAGAGGATGAGGACGCTGCCTTTGCCGGGGCAGCAGGAGTTTATGACTCAGAGTTCCTGGAGCTCCTGCCCTTCCTGGGCTGGTTGGTGTTTTCAGTTTTCCTTCTTTTTAAGCTCTGGCTTCATTTTTGTTCGGACTCAGTACAGCTCATAGAGCCCCAAGTTGAATGATCTCAGTTCTGCCCATCAATTTTGGGGCCTGGACAGATATTGGTAGAGACGTGACCAGAAGACCCTACGTCACTCTGGGTAGTGGCAGAGCCCGATCCGGGGATAGCGTCCACATTGTGTTCAGATCTTTCCAGAGTAGCAGGCATCAGAAGGTGAAATATGTGGAGTGCTCAACCTTGGAAGGCAACAGAACTCTTACGAGGAATGGGCATGGGAGAAGGAGCCCCATTTCAAGACAGTGCATTAAATGTGTTTCAAGAAGCAGAAGGTGGAGATGGCCATGAGCTAGGTTCCAAGAATAATGCCTCTGCAATTGACAGCTTCCATCCACACGTCTTAAACAAGTGTGAGCTCACTCCTGGGGTGGGTGCCCAGCACTGGGGCCGTGTCTTGCCACTTACAGTTAAAACAACCAGCTGCTGCGAACCTCCTTGGACTCATGATGACCCCCTTTAAACCCTCATGGGTTTATAATGACTGATTTTTCTGAAGTATGTTGCTAGGACTTTCTTCCAAGTCCCTTGAAAGTGTGAACCTTATGGTAAGCAGCCAAGCTTATTAACGCATTACGCCACCCAGGAACATCCACTGGGTTTGATCTCAGCCCACGAATGAGGAGTGTCAAGGGTAGAAGGAAAGATGTCAGACACTTAGGCCCAGCTCTTGGCCATTTTAACATATTATGGGTGGATGCATTAAAGGACACCTAGAGTTACTTTGAGTTCCTGGTGCGGCACCATAGGATAAGCACTGTACTGAGAAACAACAAGGTCGGCAGTTCAAACCCACTTGCTGCTCCTAGGAAACCCTGTATAGGGTTGCTATGAGTTGGAACCAACTCGATGGCACTTAACAACAATAAGTCACTTTAGGAGCCATGGTACATTGTAGGATAAGCACTAAACTTCTGACCACAAGGTTGGTGGTTCAAACCCACCAGCTGTTCCTCAGGAGAAAGATGAGGCTCTCTGCTCAAGTAAAGATTTACAGCCTTGAAAACGCTGTACAGGGTCGCTGTGGATCAGAGTGGACTCTCTGGGAGTCCGTTTGGGTTTTGATGTTGTTTTCTTTTCTTTTTCTTGAGTCAATTTTATTTTCTTTAACAATGAGAACATCCCATTCCCTAGTAATAAACTAGACTCAGAGTGATGCATGAAACCAGGAATTCTGTAGGAAATTCAGTATTTTCCAAATTAAAGTGTACAGAGGCCAATAACACATATCTAATCTTACACTGGACAGTGAATAAGGAAGATCATAGAAGAATCAATGCCTTTGAGTTGTGGTGTTGGAGGAGAATACTGAAAGTGCCATGGACTGCCAAAAGAACCAATAGATCTGTTCTGGAAGAAGTGCAGCCAGAGTGCTCCTTGGAGGCCAAGATGGCTAAGCTTCGTCTCTCCTACTTTGGACATATTGTCCGGAGGAAACAATCGCTGGAGAAGGATGTCATGCTGGGTAAGGTGGAGGGTCAGAGAAAAAGAGGAAGACCCCTAACGAGATGGATTGGCCAGGTGGCATCATTGATGGACTCAAGTGTGGCAGCGGTAGTGAGGTTGGCCCAGGATTGGACATTGTTTCGTTCTGCTGTGCATGGGGTCGCTATGAGTCGGTTCTGACTCGATGGCACCTGACAACAACAACAATCTTACACGGGAGTCCTGGTGTGGCGCTGTGGGCTAATGCGTCAGATTGCAAAGTTGTCTGAACTGTAAAGTTGGTGGTTCAAGCCCACCAGCTGCTCCCCGGAAACCCTACACAGGGTCGCTATGGATCGGAACTGACTCGATGGTATTTAACAACAGCAATAATAGGTTTAGGTTAGAGATTGCAGGTGGGCCTGTGTAGTGTCTAGCATCAGTATTATAAATCCTTAGTCCTGGTTTAAATTTAAAACAGAAAAATAAAAAAGGCAAGATTCATCAATTCATTCCAAATAATAGATTGTGGTGACTCTGTACGATAAGCACTGGACTGCAAATCACAAAGTTCGCGGTTCAAGCAACAGCAGCGACACCAATTGGTGCAGTTTGGAATCCAAGCTTATGTGGAAAGGAAAGCCGCACTGATGTCCACTGCTGTAGAATGGTAGAATGAGTGATGGTCCCTTGCTGTTTGCCCATCCCCTTAGATTCTAGCATGGATGGAGCCTCTTATCTATGGGTGTGGGTTTTCAGAGTGAACCTGCCAAGTTTTGTAAGATGGGTGAGCATACATACCCTTCCCGATGAGCTTCTCCTCTCTCCAGCTCTTGAATGACCCCCAAGAGCACTTTGATGGTTTCTTGGCTAGAGCTGATCAAGTTCTCCATCATCTGAAGCTGTGCTTTCAAATCCACAACCTCTGTGTGAGGCACGATTTGTTGGCATTCTTGGCCTGCCGAGAGCGACATCTGACAAGGCTGGGTCTCCTCCTCAACGGGGGTTTGAGCCTGCAGAGTCTGGTCGCCACAGTCAGGGGATGGGCACTGCGTGGGGGGCAAGCAGGCCAGCGTGGCACCATTGAGGTGCCCGGCTCGCCTGCGTTCCTCGTCCGCTGGCCAGAGGGACCACTCGCTGGCGGCTGTGGAGTTGGACAAGGTGGACTCAGGGACCTGAGCGCTGGGAACAGGCGTGTACACGGTGGCCACCTCTGTCTTAAACACCCTGCTGTGGGACACTGGGGTGGGCTCCTCGGCCTCCGGCGTCCCCCTGTCAGACTTTGCTCGGCCGTGCAGCCGAGGGTCTGGGTCTTCCGAAGCAGGTGGAGCCAAGTTCTGGAGGGAGGCATCCGGATAGCTGTGCACATCGGGGTTTGGACAAGGCTCGGCACAGTTGAGGCCCGGAGGCTGGTCCACTGCGTTTATGTGTTCGTTGGAGTGGAACACCAAGGCCGTGGTCTGAACCCTGGTGGCCCCAGGCGGCATCCCCTCACTCCTGTCCTCCACGAGAAAGCCATTGTTCTGACTCTTAAAGGGCTCCACGCCTGGGAAGCTCTTCAGGCTTCCTTTCTTGCGGTCCAGAGGGAAGGTCTGGTAGCATTTCTTGAGGTCCGGCGAGGTCTGCACGCCTGTGCTTCTGGTGACATTGGGGATGGACCTGCGGGCGGGCACTGTCATGTATTTGCGATAGGCAGCCTTGTGTGAGACGGGCTTGGCCTCCCGCCGATCGCCTGCCTGGCCCGCCACCAGCTGCGTGCCCCTCTGCTCGTTCTGGGCCTCGCAGATGTCCTTGAAGCGAACCTGCAGCGCTTTATTCCGCTTCTTAATCTGCCGATTGGGGTCCAGCGCATACTTCATCTCCAGGGCCAGCGAGGCAGCCGGCTCCACCTCACTCTCGGTCGTGGTGAGCACACATTTGCCAGGTTCCTTACTGACCATGGTTCCTGGAAGCAAACAGCAACACAGTGTCAGCGCATGGGGCACACGGCAACATCTAGGGCACACGGCAACGTCTAGGGCACACGGCAACGTCTAGGGCACACGACAACATCTAGGCCACACGGCAACGTCTAGGGCACATGGCAACGTCTAGGCCACACGTCGGGCTGGCACAGCGCACAGTGTGGCTCTGGAGTTAGAGCCGCCTGCTTCTCCATGTGGGACAAGGTTGTCTGTCTTTAGATAGTCATGCATGGTTCGCTCTAGATAAACCCGTTTTACTGGATTCATTAAGACACCCAATGATGCCTCATTTTTCTGCAAATTATCGTCTTGGACCCATGCCTCAACCGTGATTTGCCAAGTACAAGTGATTTGGTTTGGTTTTCTACAATTTGTTTTGCTTTGTTTTTGAGGATGATGTGACTAATCTATTATTGCAATTCAAGAGAATCACTCTGTATGCTCTGAAAGGCTTATTGGAGATTCTAGATCCTGAGCAGATAAGGGGTAGCACGCTAAAATGAGGAACATCGGCCATTATGAGTGCTGGAAGAATCAATGTGTCATGGTTCCAGGAGGGAGGCCACATGAAAGACATCCTAGGGGTCTGCCTGGCTTCTACTGGGTTAACACCCACCGTGAGAAGAACCTGGGTTTCCCTCCGTTTCCAGATGCAGCATTAGCAACTCTTTTCTGTGCTTCAGTGGAGAGGGGTATTTGAAAATCTGAAGCAGGGGGTAAAAAAGAGTAATGATTCATTCCAGAATCGAGTTTTGCGTTTTGCTCACAACCTCTGAAAAGGAGAACAATGGTGGTTGCTTCAGTACTTAAACCCTGAAAGAAAATAAAATCATGAGGCTTTCTGTTAATCATGCTAATTCATCCTGGGCGGAATTATTAAATGCGGCTAAAAAGATGCAGGTGGCCCCAGCTCCTCTGGGGAATACCAGTCGGGTAAAATGCCTGCATGGTAGCAGGCAGGATTCACAGCTGTGGACCCCACATGGGAGAACTTTCTTGAGGCTTGAACTTAGTGTAAGGAAATAGAGTTCAGCATGCCCTGGTGAGGGACCATAGTCTGTTTGGCTTTGTGTTTGAGAAGGAAATGGGGGTGGGGGAACCACAGCTGAACATTGGTGGACAGTGTGACCCATGATGAGGAGCCAGGGGCCCAGCTCCCAGACCTCCAGGGTGACTTGTTTTGAAAGGTCATTGGCACAGCGAGCCTCAAGGCTGCTCCTGGTGAAGTTGCTGGGCCTGAGGGTCAGGTACTCTGTTAGGACACGTGCCGAATACTACAGACGGGCAGAAGAAGGAACAGATATGTCCTGGAAGAAAAACCGCCAGAATGCCCCTAGCAGTGAAGATGGTGAGACATTGGATAGCCTCACGTACTTTAGACATATGATCATGAGAGACCAATCCCTGGAGTAAGGCATCCTGCTTGGGAACATAGAGGGCCGCCAAGAGAGGGAGACCTCTCAGTGAGATGGACTGGCTCAGTGGCAGCAGCCATGGTCTTGGACATAAGTCTGATTCCCGAGCACCCTGCAGGACTGGGAAGTGTTTCTGTTGTACGTGGGGTCGATGTGAATCAGAACTGACTCAGCGTCACCTAACAATGACAACAAGGTCACACAGCATGTAGAGAGTCACAAGCAAAAGCAGGATCCTGAGCTATCAGATCCTAGTCGACCTAAGTGTCCAACAGACAAGGAGGTAGGACACCTCCCCACCACATCCTTAGTTTTTGATTGCATTAGTGTTGTGGCCCAAGGCGGGGGACTGGTTCAGAAACGAGGAAGAGAGACCACCTCCCACCCCCATCAGACAGTGTGCTATCTGAACCCAGACCACCTCTGTTGGTCTGAAGACACTTCACACGACTCTTCAGACCAGCCTGGTCCTGTATATTAAAGTTCTACAGGACTATTCACGGAATGAAAGAGAAAAATGAGGATTTTGTAAACATGTTGCGCGTTCCTTGTGTGGCTTGATACACTGTGACAATGGATCCCAACACGGTGCATCTGTTGTGTGTCGGGGTTGTTATGAATCGGATCCCACTTGTCAGCAACCATGTCGAGTCCATGTATGTTGCAAACCATTATTGCACTCTCATGATAACCGAGAGGTTGGAGGTTCAAGACCATCCACAGGTACCTTGGAGGAACGACCTGGTGATCTACTTCTGAAAAATCAGCTTCCGAAAATGAAAATGCTGTGCAGCCCAGTTCTACCCTGATGGGGCTCACTCATGTTTGGAATAGACTTGGCAGCACCTGGTACAGGTTCCACCGTGCTGGAGGATAACTCAACAGAATCTCTAGAAAATGTGCTTCGATGACACAGTGTTTCTCAACCTCAGTACTGCTGACATTTGGGGCTGGACTGTCCATTACAGGATCCTAACAGCATCCTCCTCCCCCCTACTCCCCCCGACACTTACACACAGTGTGATGACCAAAATGCCATCAGACATCTGCATATATCCCCTGGGGGAGAATGTGATGGGGATAAAGTCACCACCATTAGGAAGCAGTGGATTGGACCCTTTGTTTAGTATCAAAAACACAGGGACAGAACAAGAACAGACTTGATGACCTGAAACAGGTAAGGAGACATTGGAGCCCACATGAGCTGAGCTGAGCTGATAATGAAGCATGTCCTAACTTCAGTGAAGAACCTTTGCTTCTGACGAAACGATTAATCAGAAATCATCACCTCCAGAGGCAATTTGGAGAAGAAGGGAAAACAAGCCTTCTTTTGTCTTTGGTGGTTTACCAGGTCCCAGGGACCTCTGTAAAAAATGTGGACTGGGAGCTGTTCTAGAATTTGCCCAGTGAAATAGCCGTCCTGTGGAGCCTTTGTAGTGTACAGACCTTAGGTGGAATCCTGAGCCCCATCCAGAACTTTCTGAGATGGGACATTCCCATTTGAAAGGAAAAGCAGACCAGCCTGGAATAGTTTGAGGAACAGAAGATACTTCTTGAAAGAAAGATCAGCAGGAAAAATCAAAAACAAAAATGGTAGTCTGATTGGCTACTACAAGAACAAGCAAGTTTTTTGCTGGGGAGCCATCAAGGTAAGCAATTAAGTCCCTTCAAGACCAATCCTCCTCCAACACTGAAACTCAAAGGGAATACACGAGTAGGCATGTAATCTTACTGGAGACCACATTGGTCTCCTGGTGAGTGGAAGAGAGGGAAAGGCAGCAACGAAGATATGGGCTGAGTTCAACCATGTTCCATAGACTCCTGTAGACCTGGAGATGAGAAAGCAAAGAGGAGCAGTTGGTTGGTTGGAAGTGTGGTGAGACCTGTGGACTCCTGAGCCCAGGGACAAGGACACAGCCGCAGAGGGCTGGAGTTCAGAGCGAAGGGCCCAGCTGATGTGACGTGAGGGGGGAGACACACAAGAACGTCCAAACTTGCTGACAGTACCCATTCAACCTGGCTTTAATGACTTGATGATCAGAACTCAACCAGAGGAAGTAGTATAAGGTGCGCCTGACCCAAGCCATGGTATTTTCAATAGCCTCATATGGATGCGAAAGCTGGACAGTGAATAAGGAAGATTGTAGAAGAATTGATGCCTTTGAGTTGTGGTGTTGGAGGAGAGTACTGAAAGTGCCATGGACTGCCAAAAGAACCAATAGATCTGTTTTGGAAGAAGTGCAGCCAGAGTGCTCCTTGGAGGCCAAGATGGCTAAGCTTCGTCTCTCATACTTTGGACATATTGTCCGGAGGGAACAGTCACTGGAGAGGGATGTCATGCTGGGTAAGATGGAGGGTCAGAGAAAAAGAGGAAGACCCCCAGCGAGATGGATTGGCCAGGTGGCATCATTGATGGATTCAAGTGTGGCAGCGGTAGTGAGGTTGGCCCAGGATCAGACATTGTTTCGCTCTGCTGTGCATGGGGTCGCTATGAGTCGGTTCTGACTCGATGGCACCTGACAACAACAACAACAACAATCCTTTTGTTTTGTTTTTATAAAAGGACATGAGTGTAAATTGCTACAATTTGATGAACTTAACCTATATTTTATGGATGTGGTGGTGGTGGTGGCTGTGTGCCATGGAGTCAGTTCCGACTCATAGCCACCCTGTACAGGGTTTCCGAAGCTGTAAATCTTTACAGGAGCAGAACGCCTCATCTTTCTCCTGTGGAACAGCTGGTAGTTTCGAACTGCTGAACTTGCAGTTCACAGCCCGATTTGTAACCACTACGCTACCAGAGCTCCTTACTTATGGATGTAGTAGCTCAAAATAGCAACTGAGAGGGAAGGAGCCTTCACATCAAGTATCAATCCTATCCTCTCTGTTGTTGTTGTTATGTGCTGTGGAGTCTGTTCCGACTCATAGTGACCCTGAGCAGGGTTTCTGAGGCTGTAAATCTTTACAGGAGCAGAAAGCCTCATCTTTCTCCTGCAGAACAGCTGGTAGTTTTGAACTGCTGACCTTGCGGTTCACAGCCCGATTCGTAACCACTACACTACCAGAGCTCCTCTCTGTACACAGGGTTAATAGGGATGGGGTTGGATACCTAAAATGGGGGTGCGGGTGGGGTTGCAGGCTCTAAAGGCATGAAGTGACCGGCTTACAAGTTTTCAAGAGGGAGTTTAGTTTCAGAGTGTGTGGGGAAAGGTAGAATCCCCACTGAATAGTTTTCATCTCGTCTAGACAGGTCTGGTGAAAGGACATGGGGATTGGATTGTTTTGATTCAATAGTGAGTAATTGTTATCATGACTAATTGTGACTGTCACAACTGTAAAGTTAGAAGTTTTGTAACAAAAATGGGGGAGTAGTTAATCTTTTAGTCCAGTTAACAGAGGACCCTAGGACTCTCAAGGGAGAAGAGCACAAGCAGAATGTGGGACCTTATCCAGGAAGCAGTGACACCAGAGATGGAGGTAGAGATGGGGACATGGAGAGGCAGCAGCTGATTTCTCTAGACTCAGGGAAAGAGAAAGGCTGTGTGCTGGCAGCCAGGTGCT